ACATTTTCATAACAACCTTATTTGTTAAGGTGCGGTGTTGTTAGACCCAAGCCCAACCCCCAAGCTGAATGATCACCGCTTGTCAGCTGTCTGCGACTGCTTATTCAAAATATTCGCAACTACTCTCCATATCTGGAGAGCGCCTCCTCCACCCACAACCTGAGGACGCGCCATGCCATGGTGACAAGGGACCCACCTAAGTATGTATAGGGCAGGTTTGCTCATATTAGCAGTTAAGAGGGTAGAGTTTGTTAGTGATATGTCATACATAATACTAAGATGTAGCTGGTGTGAGATCATTCTGAATGTTCATGCCCCAATGGAAGACAAAATTACTGACATAAAGCACAGGTTCTATAAAGAACTAGAATATATACATATTTGATAAATTCCTGAAGTACCATATGAAAATTTTGTTAGGAGGTTTCAGTGCCAAAGTAGGTAGGGAAGAATTTTGAAACCAATGATTGGGAATGAGAGTTTACAGGAATTTAATACTAAGAATGGTATTAGAGTAGTATACTTTGCCACATCTAAAAATCTTACTGTCGAAAGTACGATGTTCCCACATCATAACATTCATAGATTTACTTGGACATCTCCTGATGGGAAGACACACAACCAGATTGACCATATTTTGATAGATAGGAGACAGCATTCAAGTATAATTGATGTCTAGCCATTCAAACCATGAGATTGTGATACTGACCACCACCTGATGGTGGCAGAGGTTAGGGAAAGACTGGCAGTGACTAAAAGAACAACTCACAGAGTTCATATAGAGAGGTTCAACCTCAAGAAATTAAATGAAGAAAACGGTATGAGCAGTATCGTTTTCAAATCTAATAGGTTCGTAGCCTTGGAAATTTAGACACCAAGGTGGATGTTAATAAAGCTTGGGGAATTATTAGAGAGAATATCAAAATTTCTGCCAAAGAGAGCCTAGGGTATCATGAACTGAAGAAGCATAAGCTATGGCTCGATGAAGGATTCTCAGAATTATTAGACCGAAAGAAACAAGCCAAATTGCAGTGGTTACAGGATCCAAGCAAAATAAATGGGGCTAATCTGAACAATATAAGATATGAAACCAGCAGGAATTTCAAAAATAGAAAGAGGAAATATCTGAAAGACAAAATTGATGAGCTTGCAAAGAACAATATGAACAAGAACATTATAGACCTGTATAGAGGAACAAATGACTTTAAGAGGGGTCACCAACCTGGAAATAACTTAGTGAAGGATGAGCATGGTGATCTGCTTGCAGATTCCCACAATATTTTGAATAGGTTGCGGAACTATTTCTTTCAGTTATTGAATGTACACAGGGTCAGTGATGTTAGGCAGACAAAAATACATACGGCTGAGCCATTAATACCTGATCCTAGCCCGTTTTAGGTTGAAATTGCTATTGCAAAATTGAAAAGTTATAAATCGCCTGGTAGTAATCAAATTCCAGCAGAACTTATTCAAACAGAAGGTGAAATATTACATTCTAAGATCCATAAGCTAATTAATTCTATTTGGAGTAAGGAAAAATTGCCTGATCAGTGGAAGGAGTCTATTATTGTACGAGCTCACGAAAAGGGTGATAAAACTACTGTAGTAATTATCGGGGGATGTCACTGCTATCAACTTCATAACAAAATTTTGCTCAATATTCTTCTCTCAAGGTTATGTCCATACATAGATGAAATTAATGGGGATCATCAGCGTGGGTTTCGACGTAACAGATCAACTAGAGATCAGATCTTTTGCATTCATCAGTTATTGGAATAAAAATGGGAGTACAGTCAGACAGTACACCTATTCATAGACTTCAAGAAAGGCTATGATTCAGTTAGAAGGGAAGTATTGTACAATATTCTTACAGAGTTTGTGGTACCCATGAAAGTAGTTGGGCTGATTAAAATGTGTTTAAACGAAACGTATGGTAAAGTCCATATAGATACTATAAAGAAAAATACACAGACTTCAATTGATGCAAGTAAGGAGATTGGTCTATAAGTAAACGCAGAGAAAATTAAATATATGTTGCTGTTTCATCACCAAAATTCAGTGCAAAATCACGGCATAAAGATGCTTTGAAAATGTGGCACAGTTCAGATATTTAGGGACAACGATAACAGATCAAAACCTGATTCAGGAGGAAATTAAGAGGAAATTGAACTTGGGTAATGCTTGCTACCATTAAGTCCAGAACCTTTTGTCTTCTTGTCTACTGTCCAAAAACATAAAAATTAGAACATACAAAACTATGATTTTGCCTGTGGTTCAGTATGGGTGTGAAACTTGGTCTCTGATATTAAGGGAGGAACATAGACTGAGGGTGTTTGAGAACAGGGTCTTGAGAATATTTGGACCGAAGAGAGATGAAGTGACAGGACGTTGGAGAAAACTGCGTAATGAGGAGCTTCATAACTTGTACTCTTCTCCAAGTATAATTAGAATGATCAAGTCAAGGAGGATGAGATGCGAAAGGCATGTAGCATGAGTGGGGGAGAATAGGAATGCATATAGGATATTGATGAGAAAGCCAGCTGGAAAGAGACCACTGGGTAGACCAAGGTGTTTATGGGTGGACAATATAAAAATGGATCTTAAATAGAATGGTTTGGTGTGGATTGGATAGATCTGGCTCAGTATAGGGACCAGTGGAGGGCTCTTTTGAACACGGTAATGAACCTTTCGGTTCCGTAAAATGCTGGGAATTCTTGAGTAGCTGCAGAATTGACAGTTTCTCAAGAAGGGCTCAGCTCCATGAGCTGAATAGCTCATGGGGAACAGAGGTTGTAGCTCTACGCATCTCACAGTGGGCAGTAAACTGGAAAAGAATCTGTGACTGGGTGAAAAGGAGAACTGGAATGCTATCAAACAGACAGACACCATGTGGGTAATGAGGTATTGAGAAATGTTGGGTGACCAGGTGAAAAGGTGATGAAAATCTTTCAGCAATGCTCTGCCCAAGACTAGTAGTGAAGGAAGTATTTATCAACTATGTAATAAGGACAGTGGTGATGAAGACGCTTTTAGTGACAGTGATTAGGAAGGGACATGCTGATCAAGTTTTTAGTGACCATGCAGACAGGAAAAGAGTTGACAAAAAGGAGGTTTCTTTTGTGGCCACATGAATTGGAAGGAGGCAGTGAAAGAATTCAGTGCCCACTGCATGGGTAACATTCAATGGCTCTTGGATGAAGGTGCTTCAGTGGCAGGTTTGGAGGGAAAGAGGTGAAACAAGGATTTACATAGTTCATATTCTAGCATGTAGAGTAACGACTGCAAGATACGCAAATATACCAGAGGCAGTTCTAGGCAACGGCTTGGTAAACACATCCCCGCAGTAACAAATACGCATGCAACGTAGAAGTACTTTTGGAAACGTCATTTTGTACTCAGTCCATCCATGGGCTTATAGGGACACTTGCAGCTGTGTGGAGGCGGGTTCAAATTGTTCCACCATGGCCCAGTGAGTCATAGGAGGCGACAAAAAGGGAATCCAATGCCTGTGTGTATAACTGGGCCCTGCAGTTCCTGGGAGATATAAATACGGGGACCTGGACCTCTAGGCTGGGGGACTCTCAAAACTGAGACAGTTCCATGGGACTCGGACCTGAGAAGGACTGCGCTTGCGAGGCCATGAGCATTTGTAATGACAGACCCATCCTCTCGGCAGAGAGGAAGTTACATAAGGGCTGTAGCCATAATGTTCAGTTGTAAAATAAAATTATTTGTTGTGAGTCTCCAGGTGCTTGTTTCAAAGACAAACTGATTGGCGGTAAACCGCCAGTTGTAAAGTAAGTCTGACTCTCTGAATAGTTAAGTTGGAAGGGAGCCGCTGTCCAGAGAGGACTTTGGCCTGGAAGCAGAGGAATAGCCATTGTTAGAAATCGTTACCAGGCAAATACTAATGAAGATACTGCAGGCCGTAAAAAGACTTCCGCATGCTCTAGTGATTTCTAAAGTGTGGAAATTAGTGATGACGATATAATTATGTGTAATTATGAGTTCTGTGTTAAAGTGGTAAATAAATCCTATCCAAAACCCCGTCTGTAGTCACACCATACTATATGACAATATCGCATGGCGTACTCTTTAACCCCGATGATGGAGGCGACATATTCCTCTGCAACGTCGGTTAACACCCACCGGACTACACGGCTTTGTCTCCCTGAAGACACAACATTTCATATCTACCGCTGTGAGAACGTCAAATCCTCTTGGATGGACTGAGTAATAGCCTCGGTAGCACGAAAAATCTCAGTTAAGACGTATGATATCCGGGGCAATTCATCTTTAATAAATATGCTGGAAATCGGATTGGTGTGGCGATACTGATACAGTTACCGCTTTGTTTTAAAATTTGATATTAAAATGGCTGAAAAGAGAGTTTATTTCGCTTTATGTCAACAATTAGTATTAGAACAACTGAAAAGGGAGTTTATTTCTGAAGGAGAAAATGCTTCGAATCTCACCTTTCAATAAGGACTACGTCAAATATTTTTATTGCGTAAAGAATAACCTTTCAGACGTATATATGATTCTTAAAAAATAATATTTAATATCTCATAAACAACAGAAACACTTTAGTTGCATAAAGAAATATCGAATCAAATAAGATCAACAGTAATTAACAAATAACATAATATTACGCTTTAAGCCCAGCCACCTGTGCTATTTGCTGCTGCTCGCACCATGTCCTCCAATATACATAATGTGACATCCGCTGGAACGACTTTGGGAACGTGTTTCCTTAGCAACAGTAGAGGAACAGTTGGAGGGGATATTTACTGTTCAGTCCGGGCAGGGGTAATATAAGAACATGTCTCCATGGCAATAGCGATAATAGATGCTTACGTAACAGTAAAGGAACAGTTGGAGTGGGTGTTTTCTGCTGTCCGATGACGGGTGACAGAAGAGCTGCTAGCAATATTGTTACTTCTTCGTGTCTACAAAGTGGAAAGTCAAGAACTGCAACAAGGATGTTAGGCAATGGCAAAATGGAAATCATTTCGAGAAGACCATCTTGTCTGAATAGCTGTTGCTGCTACTGTGGCGGTAATGTATTTTATTTATGGCATGCACTTGACTAGTTACTTTACGTCTGCACGGATTCTGGTTTCAGAATCTGACTGTTCTATTAGTCAGTTTAAAAGAACGGTGTTGAGGGTATAGCTGGTCATTATTCGACTTAGTCCTAAATGTAGTCATATTATTGCTAGTCACTAACTTCGTCGACACGCGGCGGTCTCTCGGTCGCTATAGTTCGCTTGCGGACTAAAACCACGGAGTTTTTCTTTTTTTGCTTACCCAGTTTACAAGAACCTTCACACGGTACCTTCTTATACTATGATGCCATTTTTACTCCTTGGCCCGGATATTTTCAAAGGCAATTCGGGACCCCGATTTTTCTGGGATTCAGCCATTGTATCCTGATTTATATATTTTCTCTTGATATAAGGGATATTTTGAAGGTCGGGAACGTCGGGAAATTAAATTTGTCACATTTAGTCCATTTAGTCTCTATGGTCACCGAACACGGCAGTGTCAGCTGATCACGAACGGTCACGCTGGTCGTGGACGCTGTGGAGTAACGGCCGACGTTATGGTGAGATTTAAGTTAAGCAGTGACAAGAACAAAAGAGCAATTTCTGTAGTTGCATTTAGCTGGTCTTTAGAGTCCAAATTTGCATGTGCGCGTACCAAAGCGGAAACCATTATTTTGAACTGAGTGAACCGCATGGTTTAAATGTGTTTCAATGTGATCTGGAAAAGGCTACGTTTATTTTAGTATTGCCAGACCTCAATTTATAAAAAGAACAAAATCTTTCTCGTGCTTGCTAGGTATTTTGATTTCAAAATTATACTGAAAATAAAAATATTAGAGCTGAAATTGTTATCTGGTGAAACCTCTGTTATTATAAGTGATTATTTGAGTGACTGCCTAGCATAAAGTGGTTTAATAGGGAAAGTTGTTGGACTGTGTGCAGGTAATAACCTACTATAATTCTGGAGGTGATGGAAGGGAAAACCAAAACAGTGTTTTCATCAGCTGCAGAAAACCCTCGGTTATGGCCTGATGGGAGTTAGGTGTACAGGCCACATCTTCCACAACACTGAGCAGCTAATGATATTTTGCATGTTGATGTAGAGATGATTGTCTCCAAAATATCTGTACTACAAATCTTACACAGTCAGGTTTGAAACTGTGAAACAGTTTGAAACAGGTTTTGTGACTTTTTAGAAACAGAGTTTGAGATGATGTTGGATTATGCTCAAACTGTTATTTTTGTTACTTTACGTGGATCGAATGATAAGTAAGAATCAGTGTTCAATCTAACCCTGCTTTATTAAGACAAACTTTTGATACACAAGGGCGTTATATATATATATATTTGCATGAATTTTGGGTTCGTAATCTCACTGACAATTCTACCACTCTTTTTTAAGGAAAGGTGGGCTGAAATTATTTTATTTATATTGTATTACATATTTTTATAATAGGTGCTGGGATGTTACAGCATGGCGTTTGATTACAGCAGCCTGTATGAAACAGCTGATCATTCAGGGTGAATTCATACATTTGGAATGAGAGCAGATCAAATTAGGGTAATGCTTGCTACCGTTCAGTTCAGAACATTCTGCCTTCTGGTATGCTGTCTAGAAATGTAGAGAACGTGTGCCCACAGGTGTATCTTTTAAATCCCTTTGGTTTATGGACTGCATTTAATGAATTGAAATGTTAGTGAGATTTCTTTGCCGAAAGCAAGACAATTGCTGTTGTTGAATGGTAGACCGAAGAATGCTTACTATAAAAGTAGTGTTTTTAGTGCGCCATAATGTTACATGTTGTTAACATATTCACAAACATAAGTAGGTAAAACTCTCTTTATATTCTCTTTGTACTAAAAGCTGACGTTTAGTACGACTAACAGTTTGAGATGTTTAAAAAATAATTGCTATAAGTGTAATACAAATTAATTATTATATAGTTCCACAGGTAACCTATCATTACGATGAATAAAATGACTTCAGTTGCATTTTTATAGGAATCTGGCATGTTTGCAGTTGTTGCATGGGAGACCAAAGAAATTATCATGTATGATAACCATTTTAGTGTGCTGTGTTCAGATGAACTGGATCCTGCTAGCTTATCCCAAGCAAGACCTGAGTCCTTGCAGCTAGCAGTATGTAATTATCATTTGTATGGGGCAGTAACAACTATGGATGACTTGTGCATTGTTTTAATTACACTTGCTTTCCTGTCATTCCAATAATTGTGGTATTTTCTTCTTGTTACAGCAAATGTCACAAACCCCGTGGCAGCAGGTGAGGTCAACCCTGTGACCCGCAAGAACTTTGATGTTCTCAGTGTTCTGGGAGCTGGAGGTGAGTACAGTTTGTGATAACTCATATTTGTTGCAGATGCAAGTTTCAGGGATTCAAGCAGACTACAAAATAAATTTGGCACTTATCAAACAGGGGAGGTCTTCATGTTTCATGAAGTTTCAACCATGCTTAAAGGTGTTTAGCCCTTTAACCTTTAACGTACGGACTTTTAAATTTCCAGCAGCCCTGTTTGGTCACAATTTAAATCACCCTAATTAATTAGCATTGCAAACTTTCAGAAAAAAATGCATATTTTCCGTTCTATGCAACATAGAAATATGAACTAAAAAGAACCTGAAAGACAATAAAATTTTCTACATATACACAAAAGAGCAAGTTTTACAAATGAAAATTAACTGAATATTTTGTCATGAAATGCAAAATATAATCTTTATTATATATGTTATGAAATTCCAAAGGACTTGCCCATTGTTATTTCTTCAACCTTGAATCATGGTGATATTGTAAATATAATCATACTATAAACAATAATATTTTGTTCAGCCTGTACGCGAGTTTGAACTGGGTCACTTCACAGTTTACGATAAATCACACTCTGACGCGCGTGTGCCACTTCTCGAAGCAGTCCACCACACATAGCGCAACGTCACACTTTTTACAGTAGTAGAGCGTGCTTCTGCACTTCTTATTCTGAGAACAAATACAACAATGTCTTTGTTTTCCTTTGGTTGGGCAGTGTTGTGAATGTTTCACCTCCAGTCAACTCAGTTGGGCCCCAGATGAACTTGGCCTCCCCTGAGAAACACCACTGACTGTGATATTTGCCTCATGCGACTGAAGAATCAAATCCCGCACCAATATTTTGCGGAACTTTTTGTGTGTCATTTTTCCACTACATGACTTGTGTAATAGATATGCATTTAGAATAGTTATATCTAGAAGGTGGAATAACAATTTCTTTGTCCACTTCCATGTCCTCCTAGCAATGCCATAACTGTTTACCATCCTGTCAGATTTATCAACAAAGCCCATGTGTGCATTGTAGTCTTCAGTTACATGGGGTTTGACAGCATGGCCAGATTCATCTCGGAAGTTGCCTTCCAATGGAGGAGGGTGCAAATTCGTCAGAACATACACATCGCGCTTGTCTTTCCAACGAACAACACTTAGATGCCCCTTGACTCTTGTAACATCATCCCCTTTTTTCAATTTCATTGACTTGGGCCGAATTTCTTGTGGCATTCCACGCCTGTCATTGCGAGCAGTGCCACATGAATCTATTTTCCTGTCTAAAAGATCATCAAATAAAGCAGGAGAACTGAAATAATTGTCCATGTAAATTTTATGTCCCAAGCCTTCAACTCTTCGAATTAGCTGGAGAACAATGCCATGAGTTGATGTAATTTCTTCTGTCGCAAGTTGCCTTTGTTTGCCCAAATAAACTGTCATGTCATAAGTATACCCAAAAAAATTGCAAAGCTTGTAAATTTTTGTACCAAATCTTGTGCGTTTCTTTGGAATATACTGACGAAAAATCACTCTTCCTTTGAACAACACTATGACTTCATCAACAGCAAGACGTTCTGCTGGATTGTAAAGTTCACAAAATTTGTTGTTGAGATTGTCAAAAATTTTTCTAATTTTCCAGAGCCTATCATANTCCGTTTCCTCCGTTTCCTCGTCTGATGATGATGATGATGATGATGATGACGAGGACAACATATTTGCTCAAGGTTCAATGAACTCATTGATATCTTCTAACTCTTCAACAGATTCCTCTTCCATCAATATTTCCTCCAGTTCTTCTGCATCGAGAAGTTTGGAATATTGGGCACGTTTTTGAGGTTCCATCTTGGGGGAGAGGGGTTTCCAGTAAAATCGAATAAATTATGTTGATTGACAAAGATTCGCAAAATAGTTATGCAAAGTAACTGTGATAGTATGGTACAATAGGCCAGAAGTGGCAGCAGTACAAGGGACCTAGTCCCACCCCACAAGTAATAAAAAATAATAATTGTTATAGTAGTCGAAAAGGTGCCAGTCCGACACTAATACGGAAAGTCACAGTGGCGAAGATGCCTTTTACTCACAAAACAATACTGGCTCAGTGGGTTTATACCTCTTCCGAGACACAAAATAATATAAAAAGAAATATATGACAGTCTGACACTAACTTTTTAAGTGAAAATGAAATATCACACATTCCAACACTGACTTCCTAACTGATAATTTGCCACTGAAAACCAATCCTTGAATACATCACACTTCCTTGAAAGCTCTGGAAGTGCTGATCTGCAAGCACCGACGAATATTTCCTCTTCAGTTCTCAGAACAAAGCTGGGCTATATTTGGCTGACCAGGTCATAAACAGTCATATATAAACATAAATAGTTTCGAAACCAGGGCCGAGATAAACGATTACTTTGTTCAGAGCTAGGGAATGAACCACTGACATGACCTCACATAGGTTTGTTTTGGTTTCAAACCCAAGGTCAAACTGTCAGTATTCCCAAAGAGTGCACGTGTCCTGCGTCACATATATGTGCCATTCGGCTAGTTAGTTATTGGAGAGGGTGGGTTTCCCCATGCACTTAGACCAGTATTGGTCCATTGTGCTTCTCTCTATGATAGTCTACCAGTCTCTATACCCTACCGATATTGGTGCGTTCCATCAGTCCCGACCGAGCCAGCGAGTTCGGCCTCTACTGGCTTGGCGGTATCTATAATGCTTCCCCCATCTATCAGAGGCGTTAGAGACTACTTGTTGGGCGGGAAATGACCTTGAATTTGGCTCAGTGCCCTCCTTTGGAGATATGAGGTTCTTTTACGCGCCATAAAGCTAAGACATGGGACCCACGGCTTAAAGTCCCTCCTGGAGGACTTGTTCGCTGAATTTTTCCACCCTTAAAAATTCCACGACCTCCGCCGGGTTTGAACCTGCGTACCACGAGTAATGAGGTTGGAACGTTACCTCTAGACTACGGAGGCTGCTTTGCCATTTGGCTAACTCTGGTTGCTGCTTGCAACATATATATGTGTCATTCGGATGTTAAAGGTTAAGGGATGGATTTATTCTACATAATGTATAAAAATTCAGTTCATACCTTATGGGAAACACATTGACTGTCCAGTAAAAAAAAATTATCTGGTTAATGCTCTTTAGGGAAACAGTCACTGTTTATTGCTAGAACCGTACAAAACAGACAAATGTAAACTGCGGGCAGACTGTTAGCATGTTAAGTCAGGTGGTACTTGTAGAACCACTGGTTTTTAAAGGTTAATAATACCATCAAGTTATCACTTTTCTTTCATAACCTTCAACATAGGTAATAATAAATTGTAGCAACATACACCTTACATTCATATAGATAATAAGAGAAGTTGGAAGAACATCATTTCCATCTGTAGGGAAGTGGGAAAGTTGCTTCCGCCATGAATTTAAATATCAAGAAATGTTCAGCTTTTGTGAGCTCTGGTGATGAAATCAATAACTAGAGTAAAAATATTCCTTCCCATAAATGGAATAGTGCATTTGATATAGGATGAACTACTTCTCCAAGAAAAGTACAGCCACTTCCAAAAAATGCATGCTCAAATTGCCTGTAATGTATCTCGTTAGTTGATGTAAATTGTGTAAAACTGTGACATCCCTGTAAAGACACACAGGTATAGTTCCAACCCATAACTAATGGAATTTTAAATTTTCATTACTGGGTGTTTATATTACCCTCACTGACTGTACACAGAACTTGCTTAATGCCTTCTCCTGGTGCCTCAGTATTACCACATCACACGGCATTACAGTTCCTACATATGGACTATAAGATGTTGCAAGGACAGACCCATTTGGTTAATTTTTTTTCTAGATCCTTCAGTTCTCAGGACACCCACTGTGTGCATGCTTTCTGAAGCCTCAAATGATCTTGCATTATGCTGTGTGCTAAACCATGGGAACACCCTGGTGCATTTGCTACACTCTCTATAGTTATCCTTCTGCGAGACTGAACCAAGTCTTCCACCCAGTGCACAGTTGCTTCTGTTCCACTCTCAACAGGGCAACTTGGTTGGCCATCATCTGCGACTTTTGAATGTCCTTGAGATAATTTCTTGACCCAGTTGTGAACTGTTTTACATGACAAATACTTCCCATTGTGAACAGGAAGCATTTCGTTATGATATCATTTTCATTGAGTTGCTTTTGTCCACAGAAAACTCACAACAGACCACTGTTCTGTGGTAATACACGCCATTCTGACTACTGAAACCAGCTTCTGAACATGGGCATGCCTGTCTGGTACCCAGACTGCCATGAAGCCGGACTGTGCTACTACCTAGTGATACACATAAAAAATCTATTACCTCCATTGCAGCGGTTTTACTTCCTTTTTTGACGTGTTTACTTTGCTTACTTTTTGTAAGACCTAACTAAAAAATGTTTGTTCTTTATCTGAAGTTTGAATCATCAGTGTCTCCCTCCTCACCTTAGGATGGGAATAGATTCAGTTTCCAAAATGTTGTGTTTTCTAGTTTTTAAAATACTGGATGATGGTCACAGTCCAAAAACTCAGTAACTCTGAGTGTTATACACCATTGTCAGAACTCTTTATAATCTGCAAAACAGAAACACTGTGAGCACAAGATGGGCATGTATAAAGTAACTGAAATTGTGTTCCTTTGTTGCAGCCTTTGGAAAAGTGTTCCTAGTCAGGAAGAAAGATGGGGCTGATTCTGGCCATCTGTATGCAATGAAAGAACTGCTGAAGGCTAAAATTATAAAAAACAAGAAGATTACTGAGTGCACCATAATGGAGAGACAGGTGTTGGAGGCCGTCCGACACTCTCCTTTCATTATCGGCCTTAATTATGCTTTCCAGACCGATGATAAGCTGCATCTCATTCTTGGTGAGCACAAAAATTGCTATGTTTAGTAAATAAGATTGGAAAGGGTGTATACCATAATGTAGTATGTCTACACAGCATTTCAAAAGGCGTTCTTTGCAGTTTATTAAGTTCATCTACTGCTTGTTCATGTTTTTGTTCTTTTATTTCAGGAATTTCAGCAAAAAAAAAAAGAGGTAAAATTGTCCCTGTCTTTTACTAATTAAGCACTCTGCCATGAAGATATATGGGGAGTGGATGTACAGACCACATTTTCTTGGCCTTGGCACTGGTTGGAGGTGAGTGGCCAGTTTCATGCCGTGGCTGCTTTACCTTCTGGGAAAAAGCCCTTGGTACCCAATGGATAGGAGGGGGGGGGGCGGCGGCGGTGGTGGTAGTTCACATACCTCGGGTTTGCGATCTTGGTGCAGGGTGGCAGGGGCAGGGGTAGCAGTGGCGGTGCAACAGACCTAATGAAAGCACTCAGACAGCTGCAGCCGATATGGAGGTAGACAGAACTCCAGAATATAACAACAACAACAACAAAACATAGTAATAATAAATTCAGAGCTGCATAAAATTGCCAATATTGTGACCTATATCTTGAAGTGCAAACAATGGAAAGTCATATGATATAATTGTGAGAACCATAGCTGCTCTGTAGTGCAGTTATAAACAGACCAGAATAAATGCCTTTGAGTGCATGTATGCTAAATTGCTGTGGTTCTGGTAGGGTCTTTGGTAAATTTGTAGTGCAGGATGTAATAGGGTTGCTTTGCTATTCTTTCAGATTATGTCTGTGGAGGGGACCTCCACACCCACTTTTGCCTTCGGCAGCGGTTGCCTGAAGAGGAGGTACGCTTCTATGTGGGCGAAGTTGTTCTCGCACTGGAACAACTCCACAAGGTATGCACAGTGTAAAATAGATTGCTTAATGAAACTCAATAAAGACTGTAATTTTCATTTCGTGCATCCTGTTGTGTTATTATATACAATTCTTTATTAGAGTCTGTCACAACACAACAGTACAATGGTCATGGCTAAAACTAGCTTAGCTAGATGTTTCAGCTATTAAAGCCATCATCAGGCAAACACATGATTAACATGTAAGTTTTGAGGTTTTCACGGCGATGACAATGAAGAGAGTCGTCTTCTGGGTTTAGGCACCGTGTATTCTTCGTGCTGGCCGACGTTTCGGATGAACGTAGCGCCTCCATCTTCAGAGCAGATGAATGGCTTGGAATGCGGAGAGCAGTAGCTGTGGTGATAGGATGTGAGAGGCGCTGCTTATATACGAAGTAGGCAAGGGGGGTGGTTAGGGAGAATGGACCAATGGGAGCAGTGGGGAGCGATTAAGACCATATATGGTGTGTGTTGACTAAGGGAGGGGGGGAACGGCCAGTGAATTCAGGAAACTTGAGGTCAATAGCACTAGGAAGTGCGGTAGTCAAGAAGAACCGGTAGGTTGAGGACAGGCTATTGAC